CTCCTACCTTTCCCCGCCCCCCTTTCCCCCTGGTAATCACTATCCTATTGTCTCTCTATGAGGACTGTTTTTTCCTTTCCCGTTATTTTTTCTTTTTTTTCTTAATCCCTTCACCTTTCCCCCCAGCTCCCCTACCTCCTCCCCTCTGTCAGTCTGTTCTCTGTGTCTATGAGGCTGGTTCTATTTTGTTACTTTACTTTGTTCATTAGATTCCACATATAAGGGGAATCCTGCGACACTTGTCTTTCTCTGACTGGCTTATTTCACTTAGCGTGCTGCTCCCAGGGCCACCCATGCTGTCCCCAAAGGGAAGACTTCCTTCTGTCTCAGCCCTTCTTGGTTCACGCCTTTCTTAACCCAGCTTTGAGGACACGGCCCCAAACCCATCTTCTGAGCAAGAAGATGGGCTTGGGGCCATGGGAAGCCCCTCTGTGGTACATCAGAGAGAGCGGACGTTGCTGGGGAAAAGCACCCGGCCACCGCGCTTAGTAAACACGCGATGCCAGCGTCGGCCGCCCGCTCGCACTGCCTGCTGGCCGGCTCCGCACCGCGGCACCGCCTCCGCTCGTCTCCAGCGCCGGTCTCTCCAGGCCTTCGGATTTGGCAGCTCACCTGATGGACGCCTCAGGCAAAGAAATCCCCACTCTCTCTGCCATCGAAAGCTACACACTCACCTACTGTGCAGCCTCCTCGCCGTCTCCTTTCTTGACACAAAGGAGACACTATTTCTTCTCCCTTCGCTTGCGCTGTGAGCCCTCCCTCACCCCGCTCCCTGAGGTTACGGTGCTCTGCCCCCGGGGCGCAGCCTTCTCACCATAGCTATACACAGTCTAGTGTCCCCCCTGCAAAACTCCCCCACACAGCCCGCCCCGCTGAGCCACAGCCCCTTCCAGCAGCTGAGCTGTTAAAAACAACTGCCCCCCACCGACCCACCCAGCGCCTGCACTCCCCCCTGCTGCCGACAGGCCCAGTCCAACACGCCCCTCAACCTTCCCCCACCGACTCTGCCGCCGCCTCTCGCAGGGTCACCACCATCTCCCCGAAATCACCCTCTTCTCCTGGCCCTGTGCCAGGACCCTCTGCTTCTCTAACCGCAGAGCAGCCTCTCTGCCAAGTCTTCTTTCCAATCAACCCTTAAAAGTTGGAGTTACTCATGGCTCAGTCCCCAGCCTTTCTTGTCTCCCTCACTGTGTCTGATATCCAGGAGACCCAATTCATCTTCATGGCTTTTGGTACCATTTACAGGCCCACAACTACAGAATTTATACATACATATATATATTGATTTCAGAGAGGAAGGGAGAGGGAGAGAGAGAAACATCAATGACGAGCGTCATTGATCGGCTGCCTCCTGCACGCCCCCTACTGGGGGGTGAGTCCATAACCCAGGCATGTGCCCTGACCGGGAATCGAACTTCGATCTCCTGGATCCTAGGTCAATGCTCAACACTGAGCCACGCCGGCCGAGCCAGAATTTCTATTTCATTCATAGGCTTCTCTTTTATGCTCCAGGCTATCATACCTAACTGCCGACCTCTGACACCTCCATTTGTATATCTCACAGGCATCTAGAACTCAACTCAAACATCTCGCCCTCCACATCTATCCTGCTCATGTACCTGCCATCTGTGTAAACAGTATCTCTATCTACTCAGCTATTCATGCCAGAGACTCTAACCCCTCCCTCCTTTCCCCTTCCACATCCAATCCATCCCAAAGGCCCCCTGACATCCCTCAAGGTACCTGGATTCTATCAACTTCACTTTATTTTCACTACCATCATCTGCGTCTAAACCACTAATGTCTTTCACAGAGTCTGTCCACCCCCATCACAGCATCCAGAAAAAGCTTCAACTCCCAACCTTGCTTTAGGTTTCTTCCTGGCTCTTATCATTTAGCACAGGGCTTATAAGTGTATGTCAATAAACAGACATATCCACATGCTAATTGATATGCTATTTGTAATATTTTATAGATATAATACAAGGAGGCTTAGGAAAAACAGTCACTCTGACATGAAAAAAAAGACATGGGGACACGCTTTGGGAATACTCTGTCACAGTTAGTTAATCATCTAAGTTCTTAGCATTTTCCCTTGAGCGTTTCAGCACATACAAGTAAAGACAGCACTGTTTACATAATAAATTAGACAGACTCCATACTTTCGATATTAACCACTGGCGTGTGGTCATTCCCAACCAACACAGCACCCAAAGCTGGCAGAGAACACGAAATGCCCTTTCCAGGCAGTGCCCACGCTTGCCCGATGTAGGAGGGAGTTCAAGGAAGAAGGTGGGTGCCTATTTCCTCTGAACAGCAGCACTGCTTCCTGCCTGTGGCCTTAAAGAAACTCTTAAGTGTCCTGTGAATGGCGATGCAACATTTAAAGACCCTCCTTTCTGTAGCTGAAGACTATCTGCCCCAAGAATGCAGGTCAGCTGGGAAACTGCATAGTCACGTGGGAATAAAAAGCCGACAACTCAGAGACATCACCGATTATACCAGAAGGCGTTTATTATTTGACTCTAAGAAATGAAGTAAACAGAACAATCTCTTGCTTTCTGCTCTTTCCCACTAGATGGTAACTGATTTTATACCTAACAGAGTAATGGATATGTTTCCTGGAATCCTGAAGACAATTAGATATAATGAGCACATAATTAGAATAGTGGGTTAACTCTGATCCATCTTCACTCCACATAAATCTTGGTCCGTCCAAGTTTAACAATGTTCGCACATCATTAGCCACAAGACTCCTGGTCCTATACCCCACGACTGTGATGCAGACAGTCATGTTGAAAAATAGTTTTACACTATCTCCAGGAGTCCTATCTTGCAACATTCTGAAGGAAGCTGTTTCTGATTTATATACAGCTATGAAAATGTAAAACTGTACTGAAGATTTTAATTTAACATTTTGTCTAAATAAATTTAGCTAAATAAAATAAAGCATACTTTCTTACTTATTTAAAAGGGAAAAATAACAATAGATAGAAATTTATCTCATGCACACAGAACACAGAGCACATGTTTTACCTGGTGAACTCCAGGACATTGAGTAATTCATATCTCTCTTCTTGCCCCAGCTATGAAAAAAAGGAAGGCATGATTACATAAAGTTGGAAGTATCTTTGGCTGCTTGGAAATAAACCTTAGTCATAAAATTTTAATGTAAAAAAAAATGTCAACACCAACAAATCGTCCCTTTTGAAATATGTCATCTCTTATTGAACTTACTTTCAGGTTAAGATGGAAGACTAAACATTCACATTATTGACTGACTGACTGACTTTTCGAGAGAGAGAGGAAGGAAGAGACAGAAAGAGAACATCAGTTTGTTGTTCCACTTATTTACGCATTCACCGGCTGCTTCTCGTATGTGCCCTGACTGGGGACTGAACCAGTAACACTGGGGTATTGGGACGACGCCTGAATCAGCTGAGGTACCTGGCCAGAACCTGAACATTCACATTTAACTGCCATCCTTCCCAAAGTCCCCACTAAAGAAACTTCTAATGGTAGGAAAATAAGAAAAAAGACAACAGCATCAAAAACTTGAAAAGAGATCAATGAGTAGTATCTTACTTAGTAGACACAGGAAGGTCAAATACCACAGCAGCCATGGAAAAGCTGGGACCAACCTGATTCGTAAACTAATCCCACTCCACTGCCCCACCGTGAAGCTCGTCTGACACCCCCACATGCTCAGAGGTGCCACATCAGCACTCCCGTTCCTCACTCGGAACCACGAGAATCCAAAGATTAATAACATCTAAGGAAAGCCCCTAACATGGAGCACGGATGCCCGGAACAAACAGGGAACGGCAGTCTGCAGGAAAGAGAATTCAAACACAACCCTGGGTGCTGGCCCATGGAGTTCTGGGGCCCCTGGGGGGCATGGGGGAGGCTGTGAGCAGGTCCTGGATGCTTCTCCACTTGGTTTCAACACCAGGCTCAAGTGCTTGTCATATGCCTCACAGGTGGCACTTTCTGTTCGGTCATGGAAACTGCACTGCTGTGGCTTCCTGATGGCATAAAACTTGTTGCAAATATTGCTTGAAAATATTGCTGCGTTAGCCAGTTTATGCTTTTTAATGGGACTCACAAAGGAAGTGCTAGAAGCGATAAGCTGGCTTGTGGGGAGACTGGCCTTACTATTCCACATATTGCATCTCTGGTCAAAGACCTGGTACAGCCTATCATGTACCATAGACAAGGGACGCAGTAAGCAAACGCTGTTCATTTCTCCTAAGTAGAAAGTGAGAGACTTTGGAAAAGAACATTGGAAAGTCAATGTTTAATTTTAGTGAAGCATGCCAACTGCAGTGAGAGTTTCACCATTTTATACTGTGGTAAAAACTATTGTTTAATTAAATTGTTACGACTGTAAATTTCTTTATTTTTATTTTTTGGGTAAACTTCTTTTTAAATAAAAACTTCAAAAAATTATCATTATTCCTCAGAGAAGTAACATAAGTAAGTATGACACAAAAATAGGATACTGTTAAAAAAGAAATATTGACAGGACAAAAAACTGGAAATCAAAAACATGATAGTAAAAATAAAATCAATAGAAGGGGAAGAAGACAAAGGTGAGGAAAACTTCCAAAAAGTAGAACAAAAAGGCAAAGACCTAAAAAGACGGAGAGAAAAGTTAAAAGGTCAGTCCAAGAATTCTAGAGAAAGCGCAGAGCAAAAAGAGGGAAGGAAAATGGAATCATTCCGGAACATTTTCCAGAACTGAAGGACAGCATATAAAATTTTGAAAAATGGTCCACCCAGTGACTGGGATAACGGGTTAAAGTACTTCACTAAAGCACACGATCATAACATTTCAAAACTCTTAGCACAGAGAAGATCCTACAGCCTTCAGAGGGGGTGTGGGGCAAGTCACAGAAGACGGGGCGCCCGGCAGACTCTGACTTCTCAGGTGCCCTGGGAGCCAGAAGACAGCGGGGCGGTCGAAATTCCTCAGGGAAACGACTTCCACCCTGGAATTCTATTTTCAGCCAGACTATCAGTTACTAAGCATAACAGGGGGATAAGTAATGTTTAGACTTCAAAGGACTAAGAAAGTAAATCAATCAATCATTCCGCATCTATCTTTTCTCGAGAAGCCATTAAAGAAAGTGTTCCCCCAAAACAAGAGAGTAAACCAAGAACAAGGAATGGGATATGGGAAACAGAAGACCTAATGTAGGGTAAAGGTAAAGAAAGTCCCCAGGAAGACAGGGCAATGATTCCAGGGTGACAACTGTGAGTAAGACTGTGAACTGTCAACCAGGACACCTGAGAGCCCTGAGAGTCAGGAGCTGGGCTTGCTGAGGGCTGTCCTTTGCTTCTGTGGCAACTTTTTAACGTGATGAAACTCATAGGATATATGTTCCATCGAAATAAGGGAGTTCACTAGAAAAGAAGATTTGAGATATAGGAAATAGTCCTAAACAGGAGGAAATCTAAAGAAATTTCAAATGCCCTAGAAGCAGGATTAGAACAAAACTGGCCCAGACCAAGGAGAAGGGAGGACTTTGAGAAGGATGTCTGAAGAAAAGAATTGCTAACTGACAGATTATCTGATAAAAGTACACTAAGAAGGCATGGAGACAATTAGTAATAGGTAGAAGGAAAATTAAGCACTGAAAAATACAGAAATTTATCTTTAGGAAATAAAAGATATTTTCAGAAAATAATTTTATGTCAGGAAACATAAAATTAAAACAAGAAAATAATTACTGAATACAACATTTACCTATGAATATTGCCACAGGCATAATAATATAAACACTAAATAATGATTTTTTAATGAGATATAATTCATATACAATAAAGTACATATTCATTAAATGCATACACAGTTCACTGAAACTTGTATAGTTTGACAAAGGCATACTTGATGCAACACCCCCCCCATCAAGATACAGACTATTCTTATCACTCCATAAATTCCTTTGTGCCTTTTTCCAATCAATCTCCTCCCTGACCCTGAGGCAACCACTGTTCTGAATTCTATCACCACAGATCACTAAGCCTGATTTTGAGCTGCATATAAATGACACTAAAGAGTACCACTCCTTTGTGCCTGTTTTCTTCCTCAACAGAATGATTCTGAGATTTATCCATGCTATTGATGAATCAATAATTCATTCCTCTTTACTGTTTAGATATTCTATTGTATGAGTATATCACAATCTGTTTATCCTTTGTCCTACTGATGGACATTTGGTTTGTTTCCAGTTTTTGGCGACCAGGAATAAAGCTGCTAACATTCCATGAGACATCGTTTTGTGGGGATAAGCTTTCATTTTTGCTGCGTTACTGTGAGTACAATTCCTGGGTCAGGTGCAAGTTTACCTGCATGAGAACACTCTAAAAGGCTTTCCAAAGGGATTGCATCATCTTACACACCTACTAGAAATACCTGGATGCTCCGCTTGCTCTATGTTCTCATTAACATTTGGTGCCGTGTTTTTAATTTTACCCCTTTTGGTGGTATGTAGCGGTACATTATTGTGATTTTAATTCGCATTTCCTTGATGACTAACAATATTTTTTCATGTGTTCATGGCCCATTCATATGTCTTCTTTTGAGAAATGTTTAAGTCTTCTGCCCATTTAAAAAACTGGGCCTGAATACTTGTTTAACCAAAAATTGTAATATAATTATAATAATATTGAGAAGGGATGGTGGTCAGGAGAGATAAGTCCTCATTTAACATAGTAAAGTAGAAAGTCAGCAAACATGTCTAAAATGGAAGAATCAAAACATATATCATTAATCTCATATATTTTCTGAAAATATAAGATGTATAAATGCCCAAAGAAAGAGATAAAAGAACAGAAAGTGATTTCTTCTGGAAAGGAGAATGGGAGTAGGGAACTTCTATTTTATAACAAGGCTTTGGTATTACTTAATCTTTGAAACTACACATATGTTTACTTTGATGAAAAAAAAAAAGACTTAAAAATAAATAACTTACCGAATCTATAATCACTGAGTCAGGTGTTCTTCCAGTGAAAACAAAATTCAATTGCTTGGCTGCTCTGACCAAGGCTCCCTCATCTGTTTTGGGAAAACAGGTGAAAGCAAACACATGGTAAAATAAAAATCATCCCCAATACAAGAGAAATACATTACTGTAACACATGTGCTGTTGAACCTTTAAAGAATTAAAATTCTTTTTATTCTGACTCTTGTTATTGAAATCCATGTCTTTTAAAATTCTGTGACAATACCCAAGGACTGAGCAGTATAATCAAGAGTCCGAGATAGGAACAGACCCTCGAGCGTGGTTTCTGAAGATCACGTCTCAGTCTTATTCAGATGCCAGGAGGAAAATGTGCATGTAGCCTTTGGCCCAGCGGATTTTCTAGAAAACCTTTCTCAAAATGAGTGACACAAAGCTGCCTTCTTACATTCTATGTTTTTCCTCCCCAAACGTCAACTGTAGAAAAACTAATACTACTAATTGAGAATTCAATTTAAATGGATATAAATGAACTGATGCTTTATTTTATCATGTATTAGTCACTGCCGTCACCATGTCATCTCAAACCTTCTCGTTGCTGAGGGAAGGGTGTGGGATAAGAGAACGTTCTCTCCCCACAATGTGAGCTGTAACATATCTTATACTTAGAAGGAATTTGGTACGTTCTACAAGGTCACAGGTAATGGTTTAGAATATAGTTTAAAATGCTTATAACAAAGTTCTCCAAAGTCTGTTCCTTCTTTCCTAAAATCTTACAATAATTGAATTGACTACTTACTCCATTTTACATTGAAAATAGGTTAAACAAGCCCAAGTATTAAACTGTGCTAACTGTGCTAAGATATAATTTCATGGAATCCCTTCAAATGTGTAAATTGTCCTAATCCAAATAAATACACAAGCTCCTTGATTATGATTCCCAAGAGAGGAAGGCAAAACTGGTGTCCTAAAATGCACACCAGTTAGGCACACAGATCTTCCTTTTCCTGTCTGCTTATGTGCAAAACCAGTTTTTGACTAAGTTATTTTGTAAAGAAGAAGGAACTTCCCATGTGCATAAAAAAAGTACTTTTCACTTGTGTGAATTTTGTTATTCAAATTTCCATATAAGTTATATCATCTACCAAAATTATATATACAAAGTTTTATATTTTAATATATAGATATATCTAATTCTGAAAGCCAAGGTTTTTCTAATTAGTAAATACATTTTTTTTTACCTAAAAAACAGAAGTTGGTCATTTTGCTTTTTCAAATTAAATTGATTTTTTTCTTGATAATCTCAAATTTCAGACCAATTTTCCTCTGAATACAATGCATCACAAGGGCGTCATTTGTACCTGGGGACGCTGCCTGATAAATAATCTTGTCGCCTTCTCGCTCTGGTACTGCCGTGTGACAGACTGCCATCATGGTGAGAAATTCGCATATTACAGGCGCGGTTGGCTGTAAGAAATAAACCTACGTTAGACCTTTCCACTTACACATCTTGACACTAATAGCCATAGTCCTTCATGCCTACAGGAGCGTCGCTGTCAAACAGGGAGGGCGTGAGGTTACAGCTAAGGAGACAACATCATTATGAAGAGAAAATATTTTTAACTAAATCATTCCTTCTTGCACTTTCTCATTTATTTCTAAACATTTATACAAGACAACTCTGTGTTGTCAAGTACAGTACAGTAACAAAGGCGGAGACAGTCGAATACTGTGCTTAGAACACAGAAGGGAAATCCTCAAACCTTCGTTTACCTGTTCTAATTCCTGATCAGATTTCAATTTTAGTGACTATTTTGGGTCGGGGTGATGGTGGCAGGGGACTCCGGGGTATCGCCTGGTTGCCCCTCTCTCCAAGTGCAGCAAACTTAACCTGACACGTTTTACCGAAAAAAGAAAGGATTGAGCAACCCCTATGTCCAAGGGACTCCCAGGGCCTGGGGAGGGCACCCTAGTGAACCCTTTCCGCACAGAGCTTAGAGTTCGTAGGAGAGACGCCCCAGGCCTCATAAACGTCGGCCTATCTGGCTCCTGATGACGACAAATGCCATTCAAATTAATAGAGGAAAAACGCTTCTCTACGCTGAGGGGCGAAAAAGAAAACAAAACGAGAAAGAAGAGCAGTGACTGAAAGACGAAATCAAATGTTATTTGAAAGAACGTGCTCAGGCTACAGGAGTAGCCGCGGAGGCGGGGCCCTGCCGTGGGCAGCTGGGACCTGCGGAGCACAACAGGCCAGAGGAGCGTGCAGGCAGGAGGGCTGCGGGGCGAGCGCGGGCGAGGCCCGGCTGCTCTGAGGCCGCTGACGGTGAGGCTGCTGAGCTTGTCTCATGAGACACTGAGCCGACTGAAGGGCCCCTAACCAGACTGAAAGGCCCAACGGAGGAAAGAGCAGAGCGTGTTGGGGAGCGTGAAGGGGAGCTGCTGTGGCCCGAGAAAGGGGGAGAGTGGCTCTGAGAGGCTGGCGACAGGCGGGGCCCAGATGGTGCAGCTGCGAGCTAAGAGGGAAGCCAGAGAGCGCGTCTAAACGGGGAAGCGGTGGACGTGACCCCCACTCGCATCCCTGCGACCCCTCGGGTGCAGCAAGAGCTGCAGGGGGCGAGGCGGGAGACAGAGTGCCAGGGGGCAGCCAGGGAGCAATGGGGGCCTCGCACCCCAGCCGCTGAAGGCGCCGGGTAGGGGCGAGAGCACCAGTGAGCTCCGCTCCAGGGAGCACCCTGGCCGGCAGCACCCACGAGGGCTGGGGGCTGCTGATCTGGAGGGGGCAGGGGGGCGGTGAAAGCAACCCTTAGGCTCCCAGAAGGAGTAGTGAGACGGGCGACGGTGTAACCTACTGAACCTGGGGACTCGAGAGGAAGAGGTCGAGGTCTAGGTCCCGGAGACCCGAAGCTAACGCTCTGTCCAAGGCTCTCGTGAGAAAAAAGGGCACAAAATACCCCCAGGGACACGCTGCTAGAGCCCGCCCGGCACAGGGCAAGGTCCAGCTGCACCTCAGAGGACACGCTGAGGGTGACGGGCATGAGCCCAGGTACCCATGGACTGAGCTGGAGGCAACCGAGAGGAAAAGTGCTCAGGTTTAAACTCCAGGAAACCCTATTACTTGATCTGGTGAAATGGTATTAAGTGTCAATATCTTGATAAAGATGCCCATGGCTCTTACTGTATAGACCTGGCTCTGGCCCTATCATTTTGAACAGGTAATTCATTTCTATAGATATTTTCAAGTTGCTAACAGCGAGTTGTTTCAAACAAACAGGGTTCTAATGTTATTTAACATAAAACATTTTGAAAAGATAGAATACTGATAATGATAATATTAAAACTAAATATCTAATAACCATGAATTCATGGGGACCAAGTAAAAAAATCAGCAATAGATTTTGAAAATTATTACAAGTAATCCTAAAACTAAAGAAAATATATAAACATGGAAGATAAGTCAGAGAAATGCTTATTAGTTTGCACTCATTTATTAAAATATAATGGTTTTATGTCACTTACATGATTATTTTGGAGATTTTCCAGCAATGATGAATCACTAAATGTTTTTTCATCTCCAAACTGTGAGCTCTGCCTAAAGGGAGAAAAAATGGAGTAAACCTGGTTCATTTATAGCAACTCACTGATCTACACAAGTAGATCATTTATTTGTATGAACATACATTTATTTATTTATTTATTTACTTATTTATTTATTTATAAAAAATATATCTTTATTGATTTCAGAGAGAGGAAGGGAAAGGGAGAGAAGAGAGATAGAAACATCAATGATAAGAGAGTCGTCATTGATCGGCTGCCTCCTGCACGCTCCCGATTGGGGATCAAGCCCGCAACCCGGGCATGTGCCCTGACCTGGAGTTGAACCGTGATCTCCTGGATCCTAGGTGGATGCTCAACAGCTGAGCCACGCATGACCAGATCTGCTTGTAACTTTTAAAATAAGTCATTATGCTTGTAAACCCATAATAAATATGATTTAGAGTTCATTACTGAATAAGACGTCACAGATTTCACTATCTTCTGGCTTCCAGTACACCTATTATTAAGATGTATTCATTAATTGTTCTTAGTTATACTTTCCTACTTATTTGTTAGATAAATTGAAATGTCAAGGAATATTCTCAGTAACATCTTGCATATGGAGGTGTATTCTTTTTAAAAGAATTCCAGACTGAAAACCTTTATAAATCTGAAGATATGCCTTATGAATCTCACAGTAATTCTTTCATTTTATAAATCACAGCTACCATAACTGATATAAATTTCAAATGTATTTACAACAAAGAACACTAGCTATGCAACTTAAGTATTTACATGGACACTGCATCCATTCACCAACGACGGCTTCCACCATGGATAACGCTACATGAGAACTCTTCTTTCAGAAAGTGGCTTCCTTTCCAAGATCATAAATGCCATCTGCTAATCACATGGGCTGTGTTGGATAATTCAGGCATGGGGTCCCCACCACCCCTCTCCAAAATCTTACAAAACATTCACTTTTAGTAAATGTAAACAGATGAAACAAAGAGGTGCATGTCATTTCAAAATAGAACCAACTGCATTAAAAGTAAAAGTCATATTTTAAACAGTGCGTTGACAAAACGACATGAATTTGCAAACTGTTCACAAATAAAAATGCAAACCAACACTGATGTTTTGTTAAATTTTACCACAGAAATTTTCAAGTGGCACTTTGCTCACCAGGAGACAAAAAAATTATGGTGTTTTGCAAGAAGCAATAAGGTGGGGAGTGGAACAATAAGATAAGGACAACAAGCAGGCAGCCCGACATCAGATAATTTGCAGCTTCTTGCAGCTTGATTTAAAGGCTATGGCACATTGTAAGTAATTATTTCCTGATCATACAAAACTGAAGTCCTCATAGCAATAAAAGTTAACAGAAAATTCAGAATGTATATGGCTTAATTGGTATTAGCTATTTTTGCAATGATGATATGGATTATGACATTTTTTAAAATGCAAAATTCATGTCAACAGGAATGTAATCGGAAAAAAGGGGAAAAAAAGCTGGACCCATCCTTTTCACCTTAAACTAAAATAAACTGTGGATGGATGAACACTCTAATAAAAGTACTAAAGATGTGGGAAAATTTAACAAATAAATTAGGAGTAGAAAATGCCTAAGTAACAGACATAATTCAGAAAATTAAACAACAGGTGAATCTGCATAGAGCCAAAACATTTCCGCAGAGCAAAAACTACTGCAAAGTCAAAAATCAAAAATGGCAAACTGGGAAAAATTATTTCCAACTCCTATATGGAAGGCTAATTTTCATAAGATAAAAAGAACTCAGAAATCAGTAAGAAAAAGATCAGCAATGCAATGGAACAACGAGCGAAGGATCTGAACAGACAGTTCATACAGAAGGAAATACGATTGGCTTTAAATGGACGTTCATCCCATAATGAAAGAAATGAAATTTAAATTGGACAGAAATAAAAGTTTGACAACTCTGTGCCCTTGGGATTATAGAAAAAATTAAATCATACCTCATCGGTGAGAATGAAAACTGGTTCAGCTTCTTCAAAGGGCAATTGGGCAATTTCTAGCAACATTTAAAATGCACGTATCCTTTGATGCAGTAATTCGAGTTCTAGGAATTCATACTAATTATCCACCTGGAGCAAAATGCTGTATGTATTCATTTTTTTTTTTGCAGCAAAGGATTAGAAATAACCCAAGTCCCCTCAGGGATGCTGCTTTAAAAAAGCTGGTGCCTCCACATATTAGAATACTGTGCCAAAAATGAGTAGCTATTCACGGGATATGGGCAAATCTCAAGGATGCATGGTCAAAAGAAAAGCTGGTACGAGACTGCGCAGTATGTTCACTCTATCTAAAGATGAGAGAAAAAGTACACGCGTGCATCGAGCTGGGAGAGTGCAGCTGAAGTCGGCTACACTGGCTGCCTTCAGGAGGGGAAGTGGAGGGGCCTGCGACAGGGAAGGGAGGAAAACCCCTCGCTCTTCACACCCTTTGAATTTGTAACATGTTCATGCATTATGAACTTGAAAAATAATCCAATTTAAATTAAAAAACAAGAACAAAATCCATGCCGGCCACCTGAAATATATACACACCCCATATATAAATTAAATGTATACATTTTACACCGACACATACTACACACATGCACACACAGGAAGACAAGAGGCAGTGTGATCGATCGTAAAGCAGTTTTTTTAAAAAGGATCTGCCCCTCCTGCTTTTGAATGGTCCTGTTGGTTTCCAATCAAAATTCCGTAAAGGGAGACTTAATTTTTAGAAATAAATTTGTTATTCAGAGGCAGGTCCGGTAGAGTTCAAGAACATGAACAAGTGATTGAATCCAGTAATATTTTCTTGGACGGTGGTTTTAACCAAAGTAATGAGAATTGCTTTTCCCTGGGGCTCATAGTATTTCCCCAGGCAATTACAAAGGGGAGCTCCAAACCTTCTCTGAACCGGCTGCCTCACTGGCATAAATAAATTACCTGTCAAACTGAAGACTAACACTAATTCGGAGGCAATCTATCTCCCTGCTGTGCAGCCCCACCCGGGAGGATGCTGCCGGGAGCCCAGCTGTGGCAGAGTGAACAGGCCCCACCCGTTCCACACAGAATTACACACCTGAGTGAGATGAGAAGGTAAAGGAGACCAGAAAACAGAACTACCTGATGACATTATAACACCAAAGCTCACAGTGAAATGGCTGAGCACAGGGCACTTTAAGGTAGCTTTTCTGGAGAATTACCCTCACTAGCATTAACTTAGGAAAAAATGATCAGAAAGGATTACGTGGAACTGCATTAAGTAGTTAAGGAAAACAAATATGTTATCTGGAATTTACTTCAAAATAACAGGGAGGGAAAGATAGAGATGAATTGAAATTGGCATTGAGAGCATATTACTGAAGTGAGTAGATGAATGCATTTGTCTACTTTTGTTTATATTTGAATTTTTCCACAATAAACATTAGGGAAAAAATGGGTATGAAAATATATAGTTTTGGAAAATAACCGTATCTTAGGCTACGTGGTTGCTGAGATAAACAGATTATTTTTACCTCCAATGGTAGAGTTTTAATAGAATTAATCTGTAAGGTTAACGGTACTAGCTTATGGTACTTGGCAATAACAACAAAACCATATTAATTTTGGAGTAAGTGGCTACTGGCTAGGAAATGATTTTACCTCTGTAAACTATTTGTATTAATATATTTAAGCAAGTAGATCTACAGCCATCATCCAATTATCTTTAATGAAACAGTTATTACATTATAGGTTTGCCTTCAAATTCAACTAAATGGAAAATAACCCACATATATTTAAGTGTTAAATATTATGTGTTTCTTTAACTTGAAATATTTGTGGTAAATACGGTAGGGCAGTAAAATGCATACAGGCCACAGGTTTTATACATGAAATTCAATGAACTTCACATTGGAAAGTGAAGCTGCTGACAGACAGGACTGAACTTTCGGATTCTGGATTCATACAGTCATCACACTCTAGTTTATCCCCGAAGTCCAGCAGCTTGGCGCACAAGATTCAATCAGGATCATACTTTTAATATATCGGTGTCACTGGCAACAGGAAGCCAACTGGATGAGCTTGGGGGGATGCCAGCTTCATGAATGTGCAAAACGGTTCCCCCCATGCTAACTTTCCTCAAGTCAGTTTAATTGCACCTGTTCTTCCTACCTTAACAAAACAAGAAAGAAACGAAGAAAAAATCAGAAGACAAATAGCAAACATATCTTGTGCTCTAAAAGCACTTCTTTTCTGAAGTTGTTACAGTCTATAGGAGGTAATGTGAGTAGCACCTAATTTATAACCAGGCTGAGTGAGGCTTTACCTCCAGCTCCCATGTTTACTGGTTGTATACTTTGGGGCAAGTTACTTATTAGCTGTTTTGCCTAAATTCCACCAACTTTGGAACAGTAATGTCAATCACAGCTTCTCAAATCTGTCAGGAAGATTAAATGAGAGACACCAGAGCTAACATTCTCTGTGAGCCTACTGTGTCCAAACACTACTCTAAACCCTTTAAAAACAGAACTCAATCTTCACAACCTTCCTATGATGTCCACATTCTAGCAAATGAGGACAGGCAGGGAGAGACACTGTGCAACTTGTTCAAGGGCACCAGTAGGATCAGGATGTGAACTTGGGTGGTCAGAATTCAGTCTACATCCTTGACTCTGCATAGGACCTGAGACACAGCAGGAGTTCAAAAAGTACCTCTTCCTGTATCTTTGCAGGCCTAAAGGTAACTATTTGATGGATGGGGAATCCAAATGTATATTTAAAATAAAGTGTATTTTATTACAAAAGTGACAAAAGCCATCCTTAAGTGTTTATTTTAAAAAATATCATTAATATATAAATTTATATGTAACTGCAAGTGGAATTGTACAATTTATGAAAAAGCTGGCATTTTTATTTGGAGTTACCTAGTTTAGAATACCAAATTTTCCAAAAGGATGTTCTACAAAAGGAATTTATTAAACTAGATAAAATAACATCCTCTCCTTCCAACAGTGGTAAAAGTTATGAAACAACCTCTTT